GCCACTTCACAAGTCGATGTACTGACACAGAAGAAAGAGCAATAGTGGACCTCAGTCTGCCGTACAACTCCATCTAAAAGCCTCAGGTCACTCCTTGGAGGATAATGACCAGATCTTAGCCAGAGAAAAGAACTGGTTTGAGAGAGGAGTTAAAGAGGCTATTTTTGTTAGGAAAGACAATCCATCTTTGAACAGAAACGGGAGACTCAGACACCAACTATCACCTATCTACAACTCCATCCTTAAACTTAAATCAAAACAAAGAAAAGAAAACAATAGGGGCAGCCAGGCCAGCCCATAGGTGTGAAAGCACCCCTTATGATCCTAAATGATTATGCTAATAAGACCCCACACTCAGTGCAAGTTCAATAGCCTTAACTAACTAAAAGAAACTGTAAACAACTAGATGTGTTAGTTTCAGAGCAGTTTCACTGTAGTTAGCTCCTCCCTTCAAGTAGATATAATAAAGTGTCCACCAGCATTCTGACCACAACTGAAGAAACAGCTTGGATGAGCTGTAAAACAAATAAAGGTTTGTCCAGTTGACAAACTGAATTTCTCCTTTTGCCTTCCTACACAACACTTACTGTTAAAGGTCTTATATTACGCAAAATTGACTTTTAGCCATGTCAGAATGTTGTTACCTCCTCAGAAAGATACCTGGAGTTGTGTTTTGTGCATTCACACATATTTGAATAATCCTTTACAATCAGCCTGTCTACATCTCCAAAGCTCAAAAGCCTCTGTTCCTCCTTGTAATATCATGTAGTGGTAGTTTTCAAGTTAACAGCTACCTTTTACCTTTAGATCAGTAGAGATTGAAAATTCCAGGGCTGATGATCCAAATAATTCAAGTGAACGTGTTTGAGTTTAAAAATACAGTGGTACACTTCCTGTATTACCACATGACATCATCATAGTATTTACAGTCTGAAAAAAGAACACTAAATAGTCTAAATATACAGGGTTTGTGTGTTAAACAGGTGCGAATGAAACAATACACAACTCCAGGTTTGTTTCTGATGAGGAAACAACATTATAACAAAGACCAGAAAATAGCTTAATGTGCACTTTAAAGGAGTACACATAATAAAAGCTGAACAATGAATAGCTTATATCCACATGTTTACAATATACTATACAAACATACTGTGTGATATTAGTGGATTCATTTGTATGGTTGTGGTTGCGTGGTTCTTTGTATTTGCTGTTGCCGTGCCAACAATGTCGCACGTAAAAGGAAATAACATTAATACCAACATACCAGTGTTTATATTGAACAACTTTGAGACTGACTAAACTATGTGACCTCCAACAATGAAAGATTTCAGCTTCATTTTGCAGTAATATTTGCCGTATATTATTGTTGTCACACTATACAATAGAAAGGTTATAGAATGGACAAAAACTGCAGTACAGACTGAAGTAAAATACAACACCATCCCAATCATGAATTCCTTTTTATTTTAAATTAGGGGTTTACTTTTCACATATGTTTAATTACTATAAGAATGTACACTACCAGTCAAAAGTTTGGACACGCCTTCTTTTTCAATGTATTTTTTGTTTAAGTTTACCACTTTCTCAATTTTCATATACACACAGAAGACATCAAATATATGATGTAAGTTAAATAACTCAACAAAATGTTTTTTTTTTCTCAAACTATCACCCTTTGCTTTGTTGACAGAGTTACAAACTCTTGGTCATCTCCCAATGATGTTCTTGATGAATTCACCTGAAATAGTTTTCACTTCACAGTTGTGCCTTGTCAGGCTCAAGAAATAACAAAAGTGGGCAAAGCAGTGGTCAAAGTGAAGGATGTCTATTTTAAAAAATCGAAAATCAAGATTTGAGTCATTTTGATTTTATCTTTTGTTTACTCCATTAAATGTGTCATTCTTAGTTTTGATGTCTTCATTGAGAATTTACAATGGAAATAATCGTGGAAATAAAGAAGAAAAGTTGCCTTGCGATAAAGAGTCAAACTTTGCAGATCTTTTTAATCACTTCAGTTGTCTACAGTATATTGCAGTTTATTTGAAATGATGACATTAAAGACAATCTTTGTATTAGAACAAAAGGTACCACACAAACATTCATTCACCCACTCTGAAACATGTTGAAAGCTTTGCCAAAACCTTGAAGAATAGCGGAGAATCTCGAGAGGTTTAATCAGCATTAAAACACGCACTTGTACATACAGCAAGTACACATCAATCAGTAAACCAAATATACTTCCTGGAACAAATATTTAGTTTTTCTGAGCATAACTTTCTTATTCAGTTTAAATCAAATAACCTTTCCTTAAAACTGAGAACAAATAGAGAAGACAAGTAATTCTGCAGATTAATTACATCTACTCCACACATATTCACTGTCTTCATTTAAAGGGATTTAGAGCAAATTAAAATCTGTTTAAGGATTAATTGGGGTGTCATTGTGACAGTTAGCAGCAGGTAACGTCTTAAAACTATTAAATACAACTGGATTTAGAGGCAGACATTGTAGAAGGTTTCAGTCAAAGAAAAGAATGTTTTTGATTGTTGAAGTTATGAGGCAACAGAAGCACAACTGGTGAAGTATTTGGCAACTTACTAAAAAGTAGGTGGTTCAGACCTCACCATGAATGAGTGTTGGTTTCAAAAAGCAATTTGAAGTGGCTGTATCCATTTTTTATTCAAGTAGAAATGATCTTACCTCAGTACAGATATGTTGAGACAGCAGTGGTTAGAGTCAAAAAAATGACTGCTGCCACTATTCTATCTTTATCTAGTTAGTTGTCAATTATGAATCACAAAGTAGCACTGGTGCACAGTTAGGTGTTGTTAGAAGTGGCGTGATACCCACTTTGGTCTCTGAAAGTAGTAAACTCACTGCACTGAATATTTAGGATCCCAGGAGTGTGTTAATTAAGTGAGTAATAAGGACTGCTACATACTGTTTAAAATAATTACATTTTTAAAGGGTCCATGTCACACTATTTTAGGATCTGTTATATGTGTATGTTTACACATCAAAACCATACCTAGACTTGTGTTTTGTTTCATTCATGCATGCTTAAGACACAAATCTTGCATATTTAGGGTGAGTTCTTGTCTCAAATCATTTCATCTTGTGATGTCATGTGGTAATACAGGAAGTGCTTCATTGTGTTTTTAAACTCCACACATCTCTACTAGAAACATTTGCATAATTTGAGCCCTGGAATTGCCAATCTCTACTGAACAGAAGGTATAAGGTTAGCCTGATTCATCAGCCGGTTTTACTTCACTTCCCTTCGTACAAACCATCTGACTCACAGCCTTAGACTTCGTTCGCTCAACGGTAAGCGGGTACTTTTTATCATTTAACCAATCGTTGCTGTTTGGTCATGATGTATGTAATGTGCCGTTAACGGGGCTAATTGGTATATCAAGCTTTTCCCAAATCCCGTAGGAAGAAGGACAATAATGTCTTTCCCCTAGATGAAATTCACCAAACATTCTCTTTATTCCGGCTTTAAATCCTCGATCTCAGGCATCGTTGACAGCACTGAATATATGACTCTTCGATGAATGGCTGGTGCCCGAACTTGCATTTCTCGGGGTTTTGCGAACCGTCTATTGTATTTTGATTTCTGATCTAGTTGCTGGAGAGAAATGAAATTGAGCAGAGGCACTAGGTGGCATCAGCCTGGCTAGAATAAGGTAGCTGTTAACTTGAAATCTACCACTACATGGCATCACAAGGTGGAACATTTAGACTAATACTGTAATAAATGGTTACTCAAACGTGTGAATGAGACAAAAAACAACACAACTGAGGTAACAACATTCTCAATTTTGTGCATATAGGACCTTTAAGACAGTGATAATCAGCCCTTTCAAGTAAATACAAAAGTACTTCCTTAATAACCATAATGTAAAAAAACATGTGAATTAATAAAACAATTGAGAGGGAATAGAACATGTCAGTCAAAGTATATTGTTTGGTGTTGGGATTAACAACTGTCTCAAAAGCACACTTTGCTTTCAACCCTTGCCGACTGTACTGCCTGCAAACTTTGAAACAGTATCTTCAATGCAGTAATAACATTATACCAAAAAGTGCTGCTACTAATTGGCTGCGGTGCTGGATACACTGACCACAAGAAGTCAGATGTTGTTTTGCATAGAGGATCTGTGTGGATAATGGGAATTTTATGTAGTAATGAGTAGCATATATTTTAGCTGCCAACAACACACACTTGTTTATGTGCTTTTTTCCTCTCCATTGGTCTAGTTATTGGGATAATTACTTCCCACAACAAAAGAGAAAAAACCTTCATGCACCATCAACCAGGTTAGTCTAAATGCTTACCGTATGTTATTAGGTATCTGTGAATGAAACGTTCACAAGCCTTCAAAAAAAGCTTGTGTTTTTTTTTTGTTGTCATTTTCTGTTTATTAAGCATTTGCAGTTATTAACATTTCGACATTATGCTTTGGGGCTGTTCATTTGTGTTTGCCCTGCTTCCTTTCATTTGTGCGTGAATGAGCACACCCGAATAATATTAGCGTGGTTTGCAAAAGCGGCTATTGACTGGCTGGTAGAAATTAATTTCATCAAACAAATTCATCAATGCCCTCGCCTGCTTGGACCTGTAAATTGATTCCAAGGGTAATATGGCGAGTAAAGGGACATGTAATTCCAAAGAAAAAATGTGTGAAAGTGAGCACACAAACCTTTGCCATTGTTGTAGTAAACCTGCAAGAAATATTTAAAGTGTTATTATAAAGTTCCAGGGGGACTTCTCAAAATTGCTTTGGATAAACAAATCTGTGACTAAGGGACTATTACAAGTTTATTGCGAGCATAGATGCAACTTAATAGCAGGGACAGCTTAGAGACTCTAGCTTGCATTTTCACACAACATGAATATGCATTTTTTTAAGCAACAAGCTGTCCTGACTGCAACCTTTTAATGTTTATGTGGTATTTTATAAGACCAGTATTAAAACATGTGTGAGTAGACTAACCTCAGCTTTGATCTTGTTGTCCCCGAAGCAGAGGTGCTGTAGGTAAGCAGCAGCGTTGGATTGCACCGAGGGGAACTGGTGTTGTAACATCTGGATCACCTCTGGCAGCTCTGGGTCTCTCCAGCCAAACTCTCTGTACAAGAAACACAGTGGTATTTATGTAAGTTTTGTATCAATATGTGAGTGCAAACACATTACAGTAAGATCCAACATTTGCATGGAAAAGTATCATCTTCAACCAAATTAGGATATAGGTTTACATTGCTGCAGAAAGCCAATTTCCCTTCAAAGCAATTGATACTTTGCAGTGATACAACACTACGACGCATTTCTATTGTCGGAAGGTTCATCAGTTTCCATGGAAACACAATGCACACGCTGGCAAACACAGACAAAAAAGTTTTAAGATCGTCTGAAAACTCAGCCTGTGATCAGTATGGGCAGTCTTGGTCCTTGTGACAGTAATTTTATTTGTGAGAAGCTTGTTTAAGCGCACGCATCATCTCATCTGTTGTAGTTCCAACCAAATCAGCTCTTTCTGGTCAGATTACGTTAAAATAAAGCTAAAATTAAGTCTAATTTGAGTAGCATGGCTTCAGACAGAGTAGTGCTTTCAGTTAGTTTCACAACCCCAGGGATTGTTCATGACCTCAGCTGTAAAGTATGTAGGTAGGTTAGAAAATTGTCAAATGTATGAGATAGACCAAAAAAAGACCTGCTAGTCTGAGCTCATTTACACTTTATATATTTAGGTAAAGAAGAGACCTGATTCACATTTTAGTGCAGTTAGACACTCTATGGGCTACCAGCTATATCTGCATTCTGGTTTGGACCTGGATTAATCCTGTTTTTGCTTTTGTTTTTTCATTAAACTAAATTGTACTTGGATTCTTTTGTGTTTAGAATCTAATCAATCCTGCTTTATTTTTTAGTTTAGTTTACTTCATAAAGTGTTGTAATTGTTGTTTTATGATCACAGATAAACACAGTGGAATTGGCCAAACTAAACCACTACAAAAACACAATTTTCTTTTTTTAACCAAATAAGTCTGTAAATAGATGTGCTGCCTGATAGCTGTTGAAAAGACTTGCCCACACAACTATGCAGTCTGCCTTCTGTCTGAGAGAGTGGTGTGAGTTATGGTTCCTACTTTGCACCAGCAGGAATTTAGACTCCTAAGAGTGCACTGGACAAAGTGAAATAAATGTGATGTCCCTCTGTAATACCAAGGAAACGGCCTGCTTTATTGTATTATGCCCTGCTGATAATTGTTTTGCTATGGTCCCCCAAATGAGGAAATTACAGCTTGTGAGGAAGCGTGGGTGACTGTCTGTAATACTTTCTCCAATAACAGCCATAAAACTTGCCTCTCAGTTTCTTTCTCTTTTCTCTCAGGCAACAGCAACTCAGCTCTCAATGTGAACTGACAGAAATCTATGCTGAAATTTTGCATCTTTCATTGATCGCGGCATTTGAGGATTGATTTTGTTGTTGCTGAATCCATGCTCACTGTTGTGTGCAAAAATCCCAACAAGCTATCATCAGGAATTTAATTTATTTTGCCTCCAAGCTCAGCAGTGGTGCAAATATGATGATGTTGGACAATGTAATCAGAGATAGTAGGTAGAATGAAGAAAAAAGCAATGAACATTTATTGAGGAAAAAGAAGCACACATTCAAAATATCGCAGAGTTAAAAAGACAGATCGGGGATATTTATAATGGCCTTAATAAAGCATGAAAAACTAAAATGAAAAAACAAAACAAAAACAAAAACACATATTAAAGGTGCTCTGGGTAACTTTTTGGTTGCGGGTCTGTCACCTGCTTGTTTCTATGGATACGTTATTGCTCTGCCTGGATTGTTCTACAGAGAATAAACACCTCTACATTACATTTACTTAATTACAGGTGGTTTTATAGCTCAAAATACCTAAAAAACTGAATGTGAGTGGGGCTGCCTCTCCACAGATCTGACCTCTAACTTGGTCTGGTTTGGTTTCCATGCCATAAATTGAAACTAACTACTTAATTAATACCTTAACTCCTGACCTTAACCATTTACCGTATTTTCTGCACTATAGGGCGCACTCATAAGCCTCCAACCCCATCAAAAAACGACTGCACGCCCCACAATCCAGAGCGCCCTATAGACGCATCAACTCGGGTGTCCCAGCACGACTTCAGTAAACTACAAAGCCGCACCACCAGCGACTGCACAGCGAAAAACACCCGCAGCCACACTCATCACTTCGCGGACGAGGAATGGATAGGAGGTACGAACCGAAAAAGCGAGTGCATTGTACCACTTCTAGCTACAACTGAACAACTGAGTCACTGCGAACATGCCAACAATCCAGCGGTCCCAGACAGCACCCTCCCTACGCACCACAACTGAACAAAGCTGAGAGTCACTGTGAATGCGCCAAGCAAAGTCCGACTGACCCATCTAACTGTTGTGTTTTGTTTAATGCGCCTTATAGTCCGGTACGGTTTATATGTGACAAAAGACCATTCAATGACAATGTGCCTTATAATCCAGACCGCGCTATAGTGCGAAAAATACGGTAATTATGTTGTTACTTCCTAAATCCTTTTTAAAAAACTGCTTGATATACATTATGACCTTTATTCATGCTTTATTAAGGGTAAGTAAGGTTCTAGTTATTCTAAACTCCTACTATAAATAGATAGATATACAGATAGACATATAGATACAACAATTTATTCCTAATGTTATTCAAATACATCACATTTGGTCCCACCTGCCTTTGTAATACCTGGCGTTGTTGTTCAATTTGACCTACCTAGTTCAAATTGACACATACAAGAAGTGTGTTTGTGCATTTCAGTTTTTTAGAAGAGAGAAAAAAAAAAAAAAAACTGGCACTGTCATTTGTGCCGGATCAAGTGAGCTGACGTATGAAATGTCTGTGAAATGTACTGCGTTCAAGGGGAGTAAACATGCCTCTCAAAGATAAAACCAGCCTCAGCGTGGTCCCCTCTTTATCTGTCCCAATCATAAGTGTTCATTCAGCCTGAAAGCAGGAGTGAAGAGGGGGAGGAAGAGGAGAGATAGGCACGGGGCTGGACCAGGGCGGGATTCCCAGGGCATTTAGGGGATTTAGGAGGAGAGACCCTCAAACAACGCTTCTTAAATCACAGCGTCAGATAGCATCGGAGCAGTTGGTTTGTTTATGTGTGTGTGGCGAGATTAAGATAGGATTATGGTGAGTGTGTATGTGGACACAACTGCCTCCTGCCTGTTTGTTTCGAGTCGTGTGTGCACATGAAGTCTCTGTCTATGTACGCAGCAATTTGTAAACGCCGGTGACAGTGTGTATTGGAGGTGGGTGGGTGCGTGTCATCTATCCCCTCCAGCCTCCCCTGCTCCATCAGTGTAGTTAATAGAAAGCACAAAGATTGGATGATAAGATAAGAATCACTACTCGCCATTAATTAAAAAGCCCTGGTAGGCAGAGATACATTGGAGGAAAAAAAGAATGAGGTACAAAAACAAGAGCAAGAGCAGTGCATCTGAGGCAGACCCTGGACATGAAAAGTTTAAAAAAAAAAGATACAAAAACACCAGAAAAATGCTTCATATGCGATGCCAGCCTGTCCACACTAGTGCTAATGAGAGCTGAGGCAGGGTAGAGACACTGCCAGGTGACAACGCAATCGTAGGAACAGCAGGATGCAAAACGCAACCGAAAAAGCCAGAACTAATAAAAGAAGCGACGCCAGCTCAAAAGTATAATGTGTATTAAAACACTACATTGTGAGACATCCACACTGCACTAAGCTTTATTCTTTTTGTTTACGCTCAGATAGTCAGTTCAAGTATCAAATAAACAAAAGTTGGACCAAACTTTAGGTATGTAGTGAAAACTGTCAACAAACTATTTTTTTTTCTCATAACAGAAAACATGCATTTTTACCCAAGAGCACAGAAACACAAGGTTTGCCTACCAATACGCTACAGTATGCTAATGTAGTGTCAGTGTTGGGAAGTGACCTGAATACATGTACAGAAAATACATATTCTGAATACAAATGAACTGTAATCCAGTATAGTTACTTTTTCATTAGGTGATATTCAGAATACAGTTACTCTTCCAAAATCAAAGAAATATGTTAATGTATTTAATAATATAATTTAGGCTTCAAACTGCACATAATCAGTGAGAAAAATACATAAAAATCTGCTCTTGTGGATGTGTGATTTTTCTTGTGCATGTGTGATTTTCCCTTCTTCAGTTAGTGATAGGAAATGCTTTAAAACAGTGAAACAAATATAAAGCTGTTACCAATACTATGTTAATACTAGGGCTGGGTATCATTAACAAGTTAATGTGATACATACCTCGATACATAAGCCACGATACGTATCTCAATATAGTGCACTTTCGGTTCAGTACGATGTATGATATATTTCAAATCGATTCAATACGGTTCAATAAAAAATAATGGCTAAATCATGGCTGTGACATTAAAACTACTTTGTTAAACCACTTGTTGCACAAAGTGAATATGAAACACACCCATTTTAATCATCAAAACAATGAAAATGTCAAATGTGTTGCATAAATGAGTTTCCTTCCACAAAACATGCAACAAAACTGTAGCGCTGTAACAAAATAATTTAGTAAAAGATACCAAAAAATATAGAATATCGATAAAGCAGCCCGCGATATCGATACTGTATCATCACATTAAACAACACGATATATCGATAGTTTGATATTTTTGCACACCCCTAGCACCGATTTACACCATAATTAAATGCAACTCAGTATAAAAGTACCCTGATTGGCCCATGTATCAGAATACATTACAAAATACATGTTATTGCAGGTATTCAGTATTCTATAAGTAAATACATTTTCAACACTGTTTATTAATGCTTGACTTCATTGGCTAGCTTGTTTTCATAGTAGCCAGTGGAGAAATGGTGAATACTTTGTGTAGAATTTTCCCTGCGGTTACATCTGAGGTTGGCATGGTACAAAACAATGGAAGAAGAAAGCATTATTTCAAACAGGGCTTTGCTTTGACCACAGAAAGCCACAATACACACTGTTTTTCATGCCACGTGTTTCATTATATGTTTCATGTTTGCATTTGCAGTGG